TACTAAGTATTTTATCTAAAAAATTTTTTGGACAAATTAATTTAATTTATGTAGTAAGCTTAATGACAAATTGCTAAGAATGATATGATAAAGTAGTTTCATAAAAAAAAGAAAAAGAAAAGAGCATCTTAGATAAAAATCCTGAAACTGTGTTGTTTAAGACAATTTATTTTATTTGGTAAATGAAGAAACTGATTCTAGAAATTAACTGCATTCAAAGATACTTGAAACATCTTTAAATGAGCAAATTTTAGTAGAAATTTAATGGGACTGTCATAGATCACCATAGCTATGTTTTACAGATTTCGTTTCTATCCAGTACTTTCTAATATGAGCAACATTTAATATCACTAAATTTTTTAAATTAAACATTTAAAAATGATATTTTCCTGAAAAGTTATCATATCCCTTTAAAAATAGTTTTTTACAAACCTTCAATGTTAGGTAAGTTTGATGTGTTGAGTTCATATTTTGTAAGGAATTTCTGAACCATTATATACACTGGCAATAAATAATATTTTTCCTAATGAATCTGTAGCCTTAACAAGTTCTGAAATCAAGATATAAAAGCGGTCAAGTTTTTTTTTGCGCAGTATACATTTTGTATGAGATTCGTAGTATAATACTGTTTAGTGCTCGTAGTTTAACAAAATCAAACTAAGTAATATTGACTTTTGACTGGTATTTCATGCAAACCTCACATCAAATACATTCATGCCTTGCTACGTAGAAAGTATATAAAAATTTTAGGGCAAAGGGCATTATTACTTAATTTTATTTTGTTGGAGCACGAGTACTAAACAGTATCATATTACGAATCTCATACAAAATGTATACTGCGCAAAAAAAAACTTGACCACTTTGATATCTTGATTTCAGAACTTATTAAGGCTACAGATTTATTAGGAAGAATACTATTCACTTCCAGTATGTATAAAGGTTCAGAAATTTGTTACGAAATATGAACTCAATACATCAAACGTACGTAACATTTAAGGTTTGTAAAAAACTATTTTTAAGGGGATTCTACTCTACTCAGTAACTTTAACAATCAAAAAAGTGTTTTTTTCACATTCGTATCCTTGTTTAAAAAGGGAAGCCCAAGAAGTGGTGACAACTTTTCCTGTGGAAGTTGTGTTAAGGAAATGATCAATACTCTAGAAGTGCGTTTTAGAAGCTCAAGAATAATCCCACACGAAATTATCTGTAACGTTACAGAATTACGTACAGAGCCACATTAATTAGGTTTCTTAGAATTTGCAAGCAATCAAAAAAAAAAAGTAAATGCTATGGAGACTTTAAACGACAAAATGTTTTTATCTAGTGCTGAATTAACTAAAGAAATAGTCAAAAAACTTCCTGGCTCATTGCTTAGTGATTAAGTGTGTCCTGCTACAATTAAAGATATCGAAAAATCTAATTAAAAAAAATTAGTGATATTTTTTATGCAATAAAACAAAAATTAATTTTGAGGTGGCTATTATTAAAGTGCCTTCTCACAGTTTAACACGTAAAACAGAGATGTCATAATGAAGGAGGGCTGCACATACAACTTATGTGATAGACTCTAGTAATTCTAATTCTATTGATGAAAAAAATGACAATAAGAAGTGTCTTTTGCTGGCAAAAAAATTATCTGATAACTGATAGTAAAGACTTGTTAAATATTCCCTTTTATAAGCGTTGAAATGTTGCATGTAAATAACGCCAATATTTTAACTGCTTTTTGCGACAGGGAGCATATACGCGAGAAATCTAAGGGTAACGGATACAATATATGTAAAGGGGAGCATCAGTCAGTACTACACTCTGATAAATTTATCAGAGATACTTAATTTAAAGATCCATCACAAAAAGAAAGTGTCAATTCCGCAAAGCAAGTAGTGTCCAAAAAATGTTAAAATTATACTACTTTTGATAATTCATTCAAGATTATCAAAATTTATTTACGCACTTATTGACGAGGTGGTTACGATTACCATAATTATTACTAACGTGATTAAAAATCTTAATATTTAATGTTTAAGTACGAGAGTTTTATTGTAAGGTATCGGAGATGAGATAGCAGTAATTTTATCAAAAAAAGTCTTTTTAAAAAATTAAAGAAAATTCTGACTTTTTTATTCAGATGTGCAGTTTATAGGAAGACGCAACGATGCCTCAGAAGAGGGGGGTGGATATGACTCTCAGTATTTTCTTGTCAGGATTTTTTTTTTTAAGTTGTAGTTTACAGCTAATAAGGTCTAATTATTACAAAATACCAAGATTACAGTGATGTAAAATATTTGTTCTCTAATTTTGGAAATCAGAGGGCCAAATTTAGAAGCATACTTTATTATAGTATAGTAAGGTCACATGCACTGTCTGCTTCAACTTGCGTATAGCATGACCTAGTTTATATTTATTTAAAAATTCTCTATTATGTTTAAAATGAAAACTATGTAACGGTTACATTACTATAGATTAAAAAAAAGTTTATTTTGAAAAAACCTATTTTTTAAACTTATCATATAATCATAACTCATTAAAAGTTTAACCTGCTTTAACTAGACCTATTGATGAGAAAAAAACTTCAAATTGTATACTGGATTCCTTTTTGCTCTATAGTTGAAATCAAATACAAATTTAATATAACCAATTCATACAACATCAAAATATCTTATGATGCTATAAGACAAACTTTAAACAATTTAACAAAAATAAATTTTTTTTACTTCTACAAGCAGATGTGTGTGCTTTTGTTGATGTGATAAGAAATAAATAGGGATTTCTGCACTTATTATTAATTCTGAAGTAAGCAACACAAATACTTTTATATTTTTATCATTCCGTTCAAAAAGTTGCACTTAAATAAAAGTGTATTAAACAGCATGTTTCTACTACTTTGTTAAGTTCAATAATAAAAATGTCTTGTTTCAATTAAAAAATTATAATTATTTGTAAATAAGTTTGCTTTATCAATTTAATTTTTGAGTGCTCCACCATGGTGGGAAAAATGTTGTCACTGTGAAGGCTTTGCATGCCTGGCGATCGGTAAGAAGGTGATCGGAAGTGATCAATAACACCTAAGGCCGCTTGTCCTATGTCACCAGAGGAACAGAAGAAAAACGGAGCCAGAGGAGAATGAGCTTCCTTTTTGTGGGTAGTAGCCATGTAACGATCTAGTACTGGCAAATTGCTTTGCTTAGTAATTTTAATCAATAAGAAACTAAAAGAAGCAAACGTTTATTTATTCTCTAAAATAACTTTCACAGTCTGTTCGAACTTCATAGCGATTGGATGTATGTTTGATTTATTAAAAATGAAACAACTGTCCTAAATTGAGATTTTGAGTTTCTTCTCGTGCGCAGTTAACGTTTGTTGCCAAAATCTAGAAATCAAACAATTTTTTCTTTTTTTTTGAAAACTCGTACACGTAAAGAAACGATGGAAAAGGAAATAATTTTTCCGTGATTCTATGGAAAAATTTCAACGAGCTTTGAGTCCATCAATCAACTTCGATAACAAACAAAATTGTTGGCAGACTCAAGCTTCTGCACTTGTCTCCTCGGAAAGTTCAGACGAGCGACCGCAATCACCACCTGTATCTCCAGTGCCCACGCCAACTCCAGCTCCTGCACCTACCCACTCTTGTGACCTGCGTCAATATCCAGCCTATGTGTCACATCATCCACCTGTGGCTCCAACTCCCAATCTCACAGTAGATTTGGATTAAAAAATGGAGAAATGAGCCAAAAAAATGTATGTTATATTAAAGCACGTTAGGATAGCACATGAATTTTTTCAGATTATTCACCACGGGAAATTTTCGAGAAAAAAATTATGAAATAGTAACAGTTTAAGACGGTCACTTATGAGAGAGCAAGGTTAGATTAACCATTTAACTAAAACTAAGGTATATTCTAAGTGTGTCGGGATAAAAAAAAACGTTTTCATCGATACCTTGGTACAAAAAAAGATGCTCGACAAAAAAAATCAAGCCTTGCCAGGCATTTTTCAAAAATATAAGTAGTTACAGTCGTACAGTCTCAAGTTTGTAGAGTGCAAGAGGAGGTGCGTTTTAAAGGGGGCCCAGATGCGCAGGCAGGAGAGACTCCCTGATCCTCGCCTCTCTGAATGCTGAATGATACTGCCAAACCTCCTTAAGAAAACTTTTCAAAATCAAGTCGCACGGGAGCGCTACGAGAATAGTTTAAGAAAACAGACGAAGCCTCAGCGACCGCGCTACTATTTACTTCAGATTTGCATACTCGAATTTTCAAATATTGAAAAATAAAGTATTTTTGCTGGTATGCCTGATATTTTTAGGTTTAATAAAGAAAGTCTCTTTAATCCTATTCCACAACTTTACTAAAAAATATAGGTCTCAAAATGGTCAAAACAAGACTTTTTCAGGCTCAGTGTCCAAGAAATGGTCTTATTGTTCAGTTAGCTGCAAGCCAAGTTTTTCCTGTGTATAATTGGAATAGGCGTGTTCTTAAAATCAAGCAGAGCTGCCAACAGTGTGATATTAGCTACAGGTACTTTCTGATTTCACAAATTCACAGTAGATGATAGCATGCAGTGTTGGAAGTTCTCAGTGGCTAAGATGGTAGAGCGCATGCTTCCCGCCTGGAGAGCTCGGGTTCGAGACTCCGTTCCGTCACTTCCTCCTGGGTAACTAGGTGGTTTTTTTAATATGAACTAATTACTAGCATATCATATAAATAGGCTACTGATATATAGCATTTCACTGTGGCATGCAGATGTGCAGTTTATAGGAAGACGCAACGATGCCTCAGAAGAGGGGGGTGGATATGACTCTCTCATTGTAAAATCATCTCTTAAATGATCAATAATATAAATAATGTAATATATGTAGCAAATCAAGGTCAAGTGTATATGTGCGCACTTATAAGCATGTAAAATGTACCCAGCCATTCCAACAACGACTGACAAGATGAGGTGTTGTGTTGTTAAGGTAGCACACCTACCGTGGGAAAATTTTGAAAATGAATAAAAATGTAAATATCAAGAATACTTTAATATCCCATGTATCCTAACCTTGAATTTCGTGTACCTAAAATGAAAACACATTAATTTCAGTATCGTAATCAAAATTTTAAATTTATTAATGGTCGGGGAAGAGAGCTTGGTGGGCGTGATCGTTGAATCGTGGGTAAGTCAGTACATTCGAGATGACGGGAAACTGTAGCACTGCGTGTGAGAGTGTGTGTGTGTATCCAAAGCGAAGCGTTGTCTGACTCTCGGTAGTCGGCGAGAGGTCGACTGTCCGCTGCGGTAGGGCGTAACACGCGTGTGTATTCAAAGCGAAGCGTTGTCTGAGTCTTGGGAGTCGGCGAGAGGTCAACTATCCGCTGCGGTAGGACGTAATGCGTGTGGGTATTCGAAGTGAAGTGTTGTCCAAGTCTCAGCAGTCGGCTAGGGGCCGGCTGACCATTGCAGTAGGACGTCGTAGAGTTCGTGTATGTGTGTGAGTATTTGCAGCGTTGTCTGAGACTCAGTAAGCCAGCTGGTGAAGCCACTGGTAGGACACCCTGCGAACTAAGAGAGGATGCGTGGTGTATGTCCTCGTCATCAGGTTGATGCGTGAGGTAGCTCGTGATCGAAGGCATTTCGTTATAGCCAAGTGCTCTCGTGATCGAACCGGGTTGTCGTAACCTCAAAACGAGCCATTCTCTAGGTCGAGTGCGGGAACTTTGGGTGTGTGCGTATACGTGTAGGTGTAGGTAGGTGTTCGGATGCGGGGTATAAGAGCAAAGATGTGTGTGTGTACTGCGAATTGCGAGTTAGCGCCGGAGGTAGCGTTGATTCTCTAGAAGTGTTCATCTCTTGTAAATTAAATAAAGAGTAGTCTAAAAGTAAAATTCGTGTTAGTGTATTTATTTGTACGAGTGTGAGATATTCACATCCTGATCATTTTCCTTGGGAACTGTCCACCTCCCGACGGACAGTCCGCGGCAGGGCCTCCTCTCGGTAAGAAGTCTACATCGAGAGAGCACAGCTGAGCCTAGCCAAGGCGTTCGAGAGAATATTTGGTCGCAGAGGTTAGTCGTTTTATGTGTCGTATGTGATCGAAGGTGTTTTAGTGCGTTGTATCGGGACGGCTTCGCGTCGACGTGAAAACTTCGATTCGAGGCTGAAAATTCAACGTTACACAGTACACACACGCATGTGCGCACACACACATACATACTTACATAATATACAAGTAACTCACACATTCATACATGTATGGATATATACTTGCATACATACACAGTTATATACACTCTACAGTAGACACTATGCACACAGCAATTATGCATGTAAAGCAAGCAGCACTAAGTCGAGTTCGAGATTTAATAGTTGATTTTAGCCTGTTTCTTTTTCTCCCTTTATATGTTTTGTCTGCTACCATGCTTATTTGCTTGCAGCTAACTTCAAGGTTGAAAAGTTTCTGCCAGTCAGAGTGAAACTCTAGAGAATATTGAAAATAAGCATATTATATTTAAATATCCCTTGACCACTATATTAAAAGTATTTTCTTGTCAGGATTTTTTTTTTTAAGTTGTAGTTTACAGCTAATAAGGTCTAATTATTACAAAATACCAAGATTACAGTGATGTAAAATATTTGTTCTCTAATTTTGGAAATCAGAGGGCCAAATTTAGAAGCATACTTTATTATAGTATAGTAAGGTCACATGCACTGTCTGCTTCAACTTGCGTATAGCATGACCTAGTTTATATTTATTTAAAAATTCTCTATTATGTTTAAAATGAAAACTATGTAACGGTTACATTACTATAGATTAAAAAAAAGTTTATTTTGAAAAAACCTATTTTTTAAACTTATCATATAATCATAACTCATTAAAAGTTTAACCTGCTTTAACTAGACCTATTGATGAGAAAAAAACTTCAAATTGTATACTGGATTCCTTTTTGCTCTATAGTTGAAATCAAATACAAATTTAATATAACCAATTCATACAACATCAAAATATCTTATGATGCTATAAGACAAACTTTAAACAATTTAACAAAAATAAATTTTTTTTACTTCTACAAGCAGATGTGTGTGCTTTTGTTGATGTGATAAGAAATAAATAGGGATTTCTGCACTTATTATTAATTCTGAAGTAAGCAACACAAATACTTTTATATTTTTATCATTCCGTTCAAAAAGTTGCACTTAAATAAAAGTGTATTAAACAGCATGTTTCTACTACTTTGTTAAGTTCAATAATAAAAATGTCTTGTTTCAATTAAAAAATTATAATTATTTGTAAATAAGTTTGCTTTATCAATTTAATTTTTGAGTGCTCCACCATGGTGGGAAAAATGTTGTCACTGTGAAGGCTTTGCATGCCTGGCGATCGGTAAGAAGGTGATCGGAAGTGATCAATAACACCTAAGGCCGCTTGTCCTATGTCACCAGAGGAACAGAAGAAAAACGGAGCCAGAGGAGAATGAGCTTCCTTTTTGTGGGTAGTAGCCATGTAACGATCTAGTACTGGCAAATTGCTTTGCTTAGTAATTTTAATCAATAAGAAACTAAAAGAAGCAAACGTTTATTTATTCTCTAAAATAACTTTCACAGTCTGTTCGAACTTCATAGCGATTGGATGTATGTTTGATTTATTAAAAATGAAACAACTGTCCTAAATTGAGATTTTGAGTTTCTTCTCGTGCGCAGTTAACGTTTGTTGCCAAAATCTAGAAATCAAACAATTTTTTCTTTTTTTTTGAAAACTCGTACACGTAAAGAAACGATGGAAAAGGAAATAATTTTTCCGTGATTCTATGGAAAAATTTCAACGAGCTTTGAGTCCATCAATCAACTTCGATAACAAACAAAATTGTTGGCAGACTCAAGCTTCTGCACTTGTCTCCTCGGAAAGTTCAGACGAGCGACCGCAATCACCACCTGTATCTCCAGTGCCCACGCCAACTCCAGCTCCTGCACCTACCCACTCTTGTGACCTGCGTCAATATCCAGCCTATGTGTCACATCATCCACCTGTGGCTCCAACTCCCAATCTCACAGTAGATTTGGATTAAAAAATGGAGAAATGAGCCAAAAAAATGTATGTTATATTAAAGCACGTTAGGATAGCACATGAATTTTTTCAGATTATTCACCACGGGAAATTTTCGAGAAAAAAATTATGAAATAGTAACAGTTTAAGACGGTCACTTATGAGAGAGCAAGGTTAGATTAACCATTTAACTAAAACTAAGGTATATTCTAAGTGTGTCGGGATAAAAAAAAACGTTTTCATCGATACCTTGGTACAAAAAAAGATGCTCGACAAAAAAAATCAAGCCTTGCCAGGCATTTTTCAAAAATATAAGTAGTTACAGTCGTACAGTCTCAAGTTTGTAGAGTGCAAGAGGAGGTGCGTTTTAAAGGGGGCCCAGATGCGCAGGCAGGAGAGACTCCCTGATCCTCGCCTCTCTGAATGCTGAATGATACTGCCAAACCTCCTTAAGAAAACTTTTCAAAATCAAGTCGCACGGGAGCGCTACGAGAATAGTTTAAGAAAACAGACGAAGCCTCAGCGACCGCGCTACTATTTACTTCAGATTTGCATACTCGAATTTTCAAATATTGAAAAATAAAGTATTTTTGCTGGTATGCCTGATATTTTTAGGTTTAATAAAGAAAGTCTCTTTAATCCTATTCCACAACTTTACTAAAAAATATAGGTCTCAAAATGGTCAAAACAAGACTTTTTCAGGCTCAGTGTCCAAGAAATGGTCTTATTGTTCAGTTAGCTGCAAGCCAAGTTTTTCCTGTGTATAATTGGAATAGGCGTGTTCTTAAAATCAAGCAGAGCTGCCAACAGTGTGATATTAGCTACAGGTACTTTCTGATTTCACAAATTCACAGTAGATGATAGCATGCAGTGTTGGAAGTTCTCAGTGGCTAAGATGGTAGAGCGCATGCTTCCCGCCTGGAGAGCTCGGGTTCGAGACTCCGTTCCGTCACTTCCTCCTGGGTAACTAGGTGGTTTTTTTAATATGAACTAATTACTAGCATATCATATAAATAGGCTACTGATATATAGCATTTCACTGTGGCATGCAGATGTGCAGTTTATAGGAAGACGCAACGATGCCTCAGAAGAGGG